CCCCCCCCCCCCCCCCCCCCCCTCCCCGCTGTTCTCCCGCTCCTCTCTTTAATTCCCGTAGACCTTGAATGTGTGTTCCATGTGTGTTCTCTGTGTGTTAAATTCCCTAAATACTTTTTATTTATTTATTTATTTTGGGATTTATATCCCGCCCTTCAATAAAGCATCCTTTATTTTACTTTCAGGCTGGTTATTGAGAGCTCTCTTAAAGGGAAAGGTCCCCGTAAATATAGGTAGGAAGATCCCCACCCCTACCCCACCTCTCACTCAGGCCTCTGCCATTTAGCTAATTTCCCCCAGAAACTGAAGGCAGTGATTCAGCTTCTTAAATCTATGCTGGCAGGGGTAACAGGTTGTCACTTTCATTTGCTACAACCCCAAGATCTTTTCCCCTCTCAATCTCAACAAGTTCAGACCCCATTAGCCTGTAGCTGAAGTTGGGATTTTTTGTCCCAATGTGCAACACCTGACACCTGCAGACACTGAGTTTACCAGATTGCTGCCCACTCGCCCCATTTGTGGAGGTCCTCCTGGAGTTCTTCACAGGCATCCTTGGCATGACACATCCCTCCCGTCAGAGGCAAGAGTTTCCCTCCATTTTTCTTTCCCTGTCTGACTGACTGCGCTGCCCTAGTAATGTGTTTTCTTCTTTCCTGAAGAACTCTGGTTGCCCCATCCTGTCAAAGCGTCATATTTTGGCTCTTTGCTCAGCCCAGGAGCTGGAGGGGAGCCCCCTTTAACTTTAATGGCACTCAAGATGTTTTTATATTCCGAATTAACCAAGTAATTTGTTAGACATAGACGGGATTCCAATGGACATCGAGCACAGCTGTACTTGTAAAGACCACCAACCTGACGAGGACAACTCTGGCACTTGCAACAAAATGGCCCCCACACTTCCCATAAAAACACTATAGCCCTCCGATTTTGAGCATTTCAACAGATATCTAGAGGACCATGAGTATGGCCCACCTGATCCACCAAAGGCATGCTCACCTCAAAACAGTCCTTTCAAACCGTACAGTACACTACAGTACAGTACAGTACAATAACGGATTGATGTATTTATATGGACACTAATGAGCTCCTGGACCAAGTTGAACAAGTAGACTGACAGTTAAAAGTCCTCTCGTGGAATACCACGGGATGGAGTAACAGATTCTGAGGGGTTTTGAGAAGTACTGTAGTGGCAATCAACTTCAAATTAACTATTCTAAATCCAAAGTAATGTTTTTTTCTAAAAAATGGGTCCCCCTTAGCTGGTATATTGGTAAGGCGAAAATCCAGCAAGTTAGGAGTTATAAATATTTGGGTGTTACATTCAATTTTAATCTCCAATGGGCAACTCACAGGAGAAGGTCTATTAGTTTGGGGAAATTATCTTCCAACCAATTAAAATCTTTCTTTTTCTCCAAAGGAAACCAATTTGTGCCTGCCGCCATTAAAGTTTTTAATACTAAAATTTTACCCCAAGTTCTTTATGGTGTGCCTATATGGTTCAGTGCTTTTAACTGTGAAGTTGAATCAATACAATCATCCTTTTTTAGACAAATTATGGGTTTCCCAAACTGTGTCTCTTACCATGCATTGTGCTCTGAATTAGGACTTAATTTGATTGAAATTATATTTTAACGTTGAAGATGGTTCGCTTTTGTCTTTTCTGTTAAAGGAAATTCATAGTACCTCTTTGGACTATAAAATTTGAACCAAAATAAGATCTTTGGGCCTCTCCTTGGAGGAGCTAGCTTTTTCCTCTGAAGTGTATATCTTCCAAACAATCAAACAGAGGCTGTTAGATATTGAACTTCAAAAACTGCAGCCCCTTCATCCCCCTGTCTGTTCTTCAGCTACATTAAATCTTAAGAATGTTGTGGGATGTATTCCCCGATATTTGTATAACCTTGATAGCCCTAGCCATCGAAGAGCGTACTCTCTTGCTCGAGTAAATGCCTTTCCATCAAAACTACTGTATGGCAGGTTTCAAAATATTCCTAAGCATGAACGGAGATGTGACTGCGGTTCTAACTCTTGATTCAATTGCTCACATATTGTTAGACTGTTCGTGGCATGTATCTGCTAGGGAAAAATGGTTAAACACTTGGTTGCATGGTAAACATCACCTTTCCAATGAAATAAAATGCCAATTTCTATTGAACGATATAACAGCAGAAATTACTGTGGCAGTGGCCAATTTTTTGGTTGACGTGATAAGAGTGAAAAACTTGGGAAATTCCGTTTCATGATTTTATAATTAACTTAGATTCTTAGTTGATTGTATCATTTTCTGTCTCTGATTTTAATGTTGTATATGCTATTAAAGGTTTACTGAATTGAACTGAGTAACAGATTCCATGACTCACACTTCTCCAAGTACTTACAGAAATATGACATATTGTGTCTCCAGGAAACCTGGTCACTGGAGCCTGATGCAATAACTCTCCGAGGGTATCGCCTGTTCACAGTTCCAGCAACTGAGACAAACAGCGCAGGGGCCGTGGCGGCAGGGGCCTGGCAACCTTGGTCTCAACAGACTCTTGTCAGTTGAAATCCAAAAGCCCTGGAAAGTAACCCCCAAGACTTAATACTAGTCTTAAAGATTAGCGGGCTCCAGGCTGGCTCTCTTCTTTTCCTCCAAAAATCTCCAAAGTTAGGAATACGGACAGTGTCTGGAATAAACTTTCCGCTACCCTGGAATTTTTGGATCTTCAGCACCCCATTCTCATGTTCTTCTTTGTGGCGATTTTAATGCCAGAATGGATGTCGGCCAGTGTGACTTCCACGATGAATCTTTCCACCAGGCCACTTTACAAGTAAGATTTTTAGATAGAAGGTCCAAGGACTTAACCATCAACTACACAGGAACAAAACTTTTAGAATTGTCCTCTGTTCATCAGCTCCACAACTTGCAT